GCCTTGTGCCTACTGGACCTCACTTGCTTACTTCTTGAGTCTGTTGTACTGTGATCTCTATATATAAACCTGCATGTGAACTGGTCTTGTGACCACTTGCTTGTGCTCGGAATTTGTGTGGTATCCTTGAGATCCACCCTGAGCTTGTTTTGCCTTGCTTTGCCTTGACTGGTCTTGTGACCCCTAGTTCTCCCCCACTTTGCCTATGGGGGTGTGTCAAACATTATATATGTTGTGTTAGTTTAGGCTACAGTGGGTTAGCCTATAGGGGGTACACAATTCTAGGGTTAGGTACTTGTACTCTTTTCATTGCCAGTTCATTCATTCCTGTTCAGTGATTCCAACACTCCAGCCCGAACCAACGAACACGAGATCGTGGAGGAACCAGGTGCGAAACTCGTCTCCCCTGGACCATACCGCCTTAGTCCGACCGGACTGACAGACATGAAGAAGCAGATAGAGTACCTACTGGACAGAAAACTGATCCGCCCATCCACCTCTCCCTACGGCGCACCGGTTCTCTTCACTCCAAAGCCGGACGGTAGTTTACGGATGTGCATCGACTACCGGGCACTGAACAAACAGATAGTCAAGAACAAATACCCCATACCGCGTGGTGCAACAGGGTTTTCAAAGCTGGACTTACGGTCGGGTTACTGGCAGATCAAGATGGCAGACAACTCGGTCCACAAAACGGCATTCCGTACCAGATACGGCTCCTATAAATACTTAGTGATGCCGTTCGGACTCTGCAACACACCGGCGTCGTTCCAGGTGGAGATGAATCACATCCTACGGCCCTTTGGACGAGTGCGTAGTAGTGTACCTGGACGACATTCTCATCTACTCCAAGAACATGAAGGAGCACGTGGAGCATCTGCGGGAAGTCTTCGAGATCCTGCGAGAGAACAAGTTCTATGTGAAGATGTCGAAAAGCGACTTCGCATTGAAGAAGGTGCAGTTTCTCGGACACATGGTGAGTGCCGAGGGCGTACACGTGGACCCGCGGAAGACCGAAGCCGTCAAGAAGTGGAAAGTGCCGGAGAACGTCAAGGAGTTGCAGCAGTTCCTAGGCTTCACCAATTACTACAACAGGTTCGTGCCACAGTAAGCTAAGATAGCAGCGCCGCTGACGAACTTACTGAAAAAGGATACGCCCTATAAATGGGATACTCCTCAACAGCAAGCCATGGAGCAGCTACAGACAGCACTGTCTACTGCCCCAGTACTCATCCTATCAGATCCAGACAGAAATTACGTGGTGGAAGCAGACGCTAGTGACCAGGCAGTCGGAGCAGTACTGATACAGGATCGCAGACGCGGTTTGCAGCCCATCGCCTACTTCAGTAAGAAGCTACACGGAGCAGAACTGAACTACTCAATCCATGACAAGGAAGCCTTAGCGATAGTCACAGCCTTCAAGGCGTGGAGGTGCTACCTAGAGGGAGAAAAAACTACAGTCTATACTGACCACTGCCGTCTCAAATACATCAAGTCGCAGCCTACGCTCTCACGACGACAGGTGCGGTGGATGGACTTCCTGGAAACACACTTCCACTACGACATCGTCTACAAGCCAGGGCTACATAACAAGGCCGACGCACTGAGCCGCCCAGGGCACGTAGCAGGCATCCAGATCGACGGGATGAGCCTTCTCCTCAAGGGTCTGTTTTAACATGGGTACTCCGTGGACGCAGAGATCGCTCTAGCACAGAAACAGAAACTGTTACAGTGGGAGAAAGACTTAGCGGTAACGAAAGGTTCAGGAAAGATTTGGGTACCGAACTATGACCCACTCCGACAGATCTTACTGGAGGAGTTTAACAACGTAGCATACGCGGAACATTTCGGGAGTAACAAGACGTTAGCAGGGATACCTAAGTATTACTACTGGCCCCGAATGGCAGCAGACGTGCAGCAGTTCGTCACCTCATGCGACACGTGCCAACAGATGAAGAGTAGCGAGCAGAAAAAAGCAGGGTTGCTTTAGCCTCTACCTGTACCGGAGCAGCCATGGCAGGTTGTTCGCCTAGACTTCATTACTAGGCTACCTTCGACCTCACGAGGGCATGATGCTATACTCGTGGTGATCGATAAGTTCTATAAGATGGGACACTTCATCCCGACCAACACCACGGCTACTGCTGAAGCAACTGCTCGCCTCTTCTTCAACCGCATCATCACCATCCACGGCATCCCCACATCCGAAACATTCGCTCCGGTCAGTCGACACACTTCACTCCGAATCCTCCTCGCGATCGCCGCCATGAAGAAGAAGAAGCTGCGACAAATCGACGTCGCGAACGCATTCCTCTACGCACCCGTTGACGCAGAAATCTTCGTCGAATTACCGCACGGCTCCAACGGTGAGCCCAATCAAGTCTGTCAGCTGCTGAAGTCGCTCTACGGCATCAAGCAAGCTCCGCGGCTATGGCAACAATACCTGCACGCTCGCCTCATTCGCATCGGCTTCAAACAACTACCGCACGATCAGGGCATGTACCGGCTCACGAAGAACACCGACTATATCCTGTTAATCGTCTACGTAGACGATCTACTCTACATCGGCTCGACCGACGGCATCACAACCTGGTTCGAAGGGGAGCTACAGAAGGACCTCACGCTCACGGTCTCATCTACCGTCACACAGTACCTCGGTCTCAACATCCGAGAAGAGGAAGACGTGATCCACCTCAGTGCCGCGAAATACGCAGACACCATCGCCAAGCGCTTCGCACTCACACCGACCGCCATCTCCACACCGTACCGCTACACGATAGGAAGCAGCAAGGGAAGCTCCGCTCTACTTAAGCCCGCCGGCATACGCAACTACCAGAGGAAACTGGGATGCCTCCTTTTCGCAGCTGTCACCTGCCGCCCGGACCTATCGTATTCTGCAAGTCAGCTCGCCACCTACCTCAAGAGGCCTGAAGCGGAACATCTAGCAGAACTCGACCGCGCTCTTCACTACCTCGTCAGCACCCCGACGATCGGCCTAACTTACTACAAGAACGCAACTACACCGCCTAAGTTAATCGGCTACGTCGACGCCGATCACGCTGGCGACTCCGACAACAGGCGCTCCCGCACCGGTTACATCTACCGCCTCGAACCTATCGGACCTATCTCATGGCAGTCGAGAAAGCAGGAATTAATCGCCCTCTCGTCAGCTGAAGCAGAATATATTGCACTTTGTTCAGCCACCAAGGAAGGACTTTACCTTCGCGAACTGCTGGAAGAAGTGAAGCTGGCTCAGTTACCCAGCTTCACTCTGTTCTGCGACAACCAGTCGGCAATTCGCATCGCCAACAAGAACGGCTTCGCGAACAGGACGAAACACATCGCCCTGCGATATTTCTTCGTGAAGGACGAGATCGAGAAAGGAAGGCTCGAGCTGTCATACTGCCCCACGTCCGAGATGGCAGCTGACTACTTGACCAAGAAGCTCGGAAAGCAGAAGTTCGAGCACTGCATGCTGCTGACTGGACAGAGCCACGTCACCAGCAGCGACACTCCAGAAGCGAAGGGGAGTGTTGGAAACAATCGATCTAAAGCGCCTCTGTCGTGTCGAAACACTAAGGCACAAACGAAGCGAAGCATATCGAAGCATCGGCGAGTCAACCCTCGGAGGTTGAAAGCAACTGTTGGAGGTTACGCGAAAGCCAAAGGTCAGCGACCTTTGACCTGACAGAGTACAGCGCGACAGCAAGGACACACAACTGACTCGCTACAGAGCAGTTGCCCGAGTCGTCACTGTATCGAACCGCAACAGCAACAGTAAAACAGTTATAACTGTAACCCTTCATATTCCTTGTACTCTTATATATAATCTTGTATCTCTCTGTTTTAATTAATCAACTTTGCCCTCACATACTAGCGCAAGGTGGTTCACAACTCTTCATTAAACGCTTCCGCTATTACATCAGTCCTACCCAGAGTTCACCCAGTCCTACAAAGATCCTAAGGGCTATTTTCTCAGCCCAACAAAAATAAAACCCCTATAGGAAAGGCATGTGTTAGGGATGCATCAACCCTAAACACCTAGAGGCAAGGTGTTTAGGGTTGATGCCTCCCTAACGCATGCCAGGCCCGAATGGGTTTTATTTTTGCCCGCGGGCGGCGCAGTACATAACTTAACTAGATTTCTCTTGAACTTTGTGGGAAAAATAAAACAGATCGCGGTTCCCGCGATCGAAGGCATGCCACGTGGCGATAATAAAACGAACCGCGATTCCGCGGGTTTGAGCAAAACTCTCAGAGGAGAAGCTTGTAACGAACGGCGGCCCAAGGCGCTTCCTTCCCTCCCACGCTGCAACATCGCGAGCTTGCCAAGTTGCCACTCGAGGGGTGACACACACCGCCCGTGGCCCTCACCTGAGCCCCGCCACGACTGCCTCCATTTGCTCGCGCCCTCCAAGCACTGCCTCTCGCACACCTCCCGCAGATGAAGCACACGCCAGTCAGCTTCAGCATGCAGAAGCTCACCCCGGTGTTACCTCCGCTCTTCGCGGGGGGCTGACTTAGAAGCTCCCGCAGCATGCGTTATTTATAGCTCTCCGCGCACGCGCGCTGGACCCTAATTACTAGAAGGCGCGGCGTGCAGGCATCACGATGACCATCACGTTCGCCGAGCCGCAGTACTCACCTTGAGTCGACTCAGGATTCAACTCGTTACAAGCGGCCCATATACCAACTAATAATTTACTCGTTATTTTTATAGTCGAATAAAGCGTCGCGATGGGGAGTACGTTCGGCGAGCTAGGGTATTCGTGCGCGATAAACGTGGCGGTGCTGGCGGGCATGTTAGTGGCGTACACGATTCTCTCCAAGCAGCCGCTCAACGCGCGTGTCTACTTCACCAAGTGGTTCTCCCGCCATGACCGGGTGCGTGCCGCTTCTCCATTGACGACCGGGTGCGTGCCCCCGCTTCGGGCCGCGCCGCAGGTGCTGCGAGCCCAATTAGCCCAACGCAGCTCGAATTGTGAATCGTCCCCGAGAAAATGAGCTCTGAAAAGGCAGACGGGAGAAGAAAATGCTGCGTTGATTCGAGTCTAGCATGTCCGTTCTTCGTCCGCCCGGCCCGCATTGCCCGCTCCTTCGCTCCCCCCGTGCGGCACGAGCCGCCTTTCCCTGTCCACGGGAAGCATTCACAAGCCTCGCCATGTGCCCTCGGTGCCGCAGCCCCCCGCCTGCGGCATCCCTGCGCGCCTTCCCACGTGGCGCGCCATGCAGAGGCGCGCGTTGTGGAGCGCGCCGGACCCAACGCGTGGACATGCCCCTGTCGTCGACTCCTCAGTGCACCACCATCGCCCATTCCCCCCTCTCATGTCACCACGGCCCTCGCTTCTCTCCTAACTCCTCCCCTCCTGCCCCTCCTGCCCCTCCTGCCCCTCCCTGCCCCTCCTCGCCCATCCCTGCCCCTCCCTGCCATCCCACCCCTCGTGAGGCAGGAGGCGGTGAAGAACGAGAAGGTGAAGATGAAGGGCGTCAATGTGCCGCCATCCCTCTCATTCCATCCACCCTTCCCTCCGTCCCTCCCATCCCTCTCTCCCCCCATTCCATCCCTTCATGCCGTGGGCTCTCTGCAGGAAGCAGCGGAGAAGTACGAGAAGGTGAAGATGAAGGGCAACGTGGTGAAGCGCCGCCAGTGGCTCAACCTCTCCCTGCGCTCCTACCGCCATGCCTTCTCCTGGGTCGCCGTCGCCCTCGCCATGCCCGAGCGCGAGCTCATTGCACATGCCGGGCTGGACAACGTTGTCTTCCTGCACACACTCAAGCTGGGGTGCGTGCGCCCTTCGTTTCTCGTCCCCCCGGCATGTCTCCTTGCTTCATCCTTCATCTCTCGTGTCTGTCACTTTGTTTCACACCCTCCCTTCTGTACCCGCCCGCCCCACCCTCCTCCCCTCTCCCCCTCCCTCCCCCCCTCCCTTCTTGGACTGCAGCACCAGGTAACACGTCCCACACTGATACCGCTCTGTCAGCTACCCACCAGCCCTTTTATTTTCTCACGCCCCCCCTCCCCGTCTCTCCCAACTCACTGCCCCCTCTCGCCCGCCAGCTTCAAGATCTTTGGGCCCATCCTGATAGTGGCGGCAGCGGTGCTATACGGTGAACCACCTAGGGGGGGGGGGGCTGCATGCAGCAGCAGGCGCAGAGCGACCCTGACCTGACCCACACCACACCCTCTCCCCCCGCTCCCTCTCTTTTGCCCTCTCAGCTTCAAGATCTTTGGGCCCATCCTGATAGTGGCGGCAGCGGTGCTGATGCCAGTGAACTACCTGGGGGGGTGGCTGCAGCAGCAGGCGCAGAGCGACCCCGACTTGTACTACAGCGCCGTGGACCAGCTCTCCATCGCCAACATCCCCAACCAGTCGCCCCTGTGCGTGCTTGCTGCATGCATTCATGCTCCCACTGCCCCCTGTGCATGCATGATGCATTCATGCTCCCACTGCCCCCTGTGCATGCATGATGCATTCATGCTCCCGCTGCCCCCTGTGCATGCATGATGCATTCATGCTCCCGCTGCCCCCTGTGTGTCATCACCAGCACCGCCCCTGCCTGCCTGCACGCTGCTGCAACATGTAGCAGATTAGTGTGATGATCCTTTGTGCGTGCAGTCTCCCCTTGTGCGTGCAGTCTCCCCTTGTGCTTACCATGCATGGCGTGCCGAGGCCATGGTTGCTTGCATAACATGGCTCACAGCTATTCTCCATTCCCCGTGCACTGCACTGCACCACACCACACCACACCACACCACGCCACACCACACCACACCACACCACACCACACCACACCACACCACACCACACCACATCACACCACACCAGACCAGACCACACCACACCACGCCACGCCACACCACACCACACCACACCACACCACACCACACCACACCACACCACACCACACCACACCACACCACACCACACCACACCACACCACATCACACCACACCAGACCAGACCACACCACACCACACCACACCACGCAACACATCTATGGAATCCGCGTGGGGCAGGCTGTGGGTGCATGTGGCGATGGCATGGCTGTTCAACGCGTGGGCGCTGTATTCGATGCGCCTGGAGCACCGCACTCACTGCCAAGTGTGCCTTGCAATCTCCTGTGCTGGTGTGTGCGGTGCATATCGTGCCGGCCGAGCACGTGGTTGCTTGCATGGCATGGCTCACAGTTATTCTCCATTCCCCATGCATGCACTGCCACACCACACACACATGCATGGGAGGCAGGTTGTGGGTGCACGTGGCGATGGCGTGGCTGTTCAACGCGTGGGCGCTGTACATGATGCGGTTGGAGCACCGCACCGTTGCTGACATGCGCCTCGACTACCTCGCCGACCAGCAGCGCGCGCCCAACCAGTTCACTGTAAGGCATGGCAGGTTGACTGAGCGCCCAACCGGTTCACAGTGAGGAAGCAAGGAGCGTGAGAGGCCCCTTACTCCAGGTGAGGTGCAGGAGGGTCCATCACAACAAGCTGCTTGCTTCCCACCAGTTCCTTCTTCCCTGGCTTTCGCTTGCCCGGTCTCCGCATGCGTGTCCCATGCCCATTTCTGTGCTAAGACATAGTTTCTCACCTGCATGCTCTCATGCCTCTCATGCTCCAATACGAACTACGTGCTGCCACCATTCTGTTCTCAGTTTCATTCGGTCGCCTCTGCCTGGACCCATTCCGTTCCTTCCTTCTCCCCGTGTGCACAGGTGTTGGTGCGGCAGGTGCCGAAGCACCCAATCAAGACCGTGCCGGAGCATGTGGACCATTTCTTTTCAGTCAACCACCGCGGCCACTACCTGCTCACCCAGGTGCCTATTCCATTCAATAACGGCTCATGGATTCTCCCACCAGCTCAATAGCATGTCCTATGTTACTATGTAGTGATCACCGTACTGAACCCATCGGGTTTCCTACCATACCATGCAAGCCTTTCTTCGAACCGCAACTCGATAAGGTTCTTGTCGGCCTCCCAGAACATGTCAACCCGGTTGGTTCTACACGGCCCCGCCAACCAGGGTCCAAGTGGCTGGAGCACTAATTGGAACATGCAGGTCTGTGTGCCGCACACCGAGGCGGGCCAGGCCCGGTTCTCCATGGGCCACGGCGCGACGCCAACCCGTTGCGTCCCGTCATAAGGCATGTCGGATGTCATAAGGCATGTCGGATGTCATAAGGCATGCCGGATGTCATAAGGCATGTTGGATGTCATAAGGCATGTCGGATGTCATAAGGCATGCCGGATGTCATAAGGCATGCCGGATGTCATAAGGCATGCCGGATGTCAGAAGGCATGCCGGATGTCAGAAGGCATGCCGGATGTCAGAAGGCATGCCGGATGTCATAAGGCATGCCGGATGTCATAAGGCATGCCGGATGTCGTAAGGCATGCCGGATGTCGTAAGGCATGCCGGATGTCATAAGGCATGCCGGATGTCGTAAGGCATGCCGGATGTCGTAAGGCATGCCGGATGTCGTAAGGCATGCCGGATGTCGTAAGGCATGCCGGATGTCGTAAGGCATGCCGGATGTCGTAAGGCATGCCGGATGTCGTAAGGCATGCCGGATGTCGTAAGGCATGCCGGATGTCGTAAGGCATGCCGGATGTCACATGTTCGTGGATCGGCGAACAACAGCCCCACCAGCTTTGGATGTGGTGGGAAGGTACGTGAATGTGCCAGACGCGGGTCAAAGGAATCCCTCTGTGGGCCTCGCCCTGTCAGGTCAAGACAGAGCTGCCCCACACCCGTTCTCAACAGGCGCTGCCTCGGATGTGAAGTGAAAATGGCTTGGCCCGACCGGCCCGTTGTAACGGCCCGCTGACGAGGTCCGACTCGAGGCATTCTGGGTTGGGCGTTTCATGTGTACAATGCTCTCAGGGGGGCTCACCTGGGGAAGAAGCGTCTGTAGCATGAGTGCCTTGGTTGCCTTTTTTAAGTTGGTCCCTTCTTTCACGCCCATCCCACCCACCCCTTCCCTGCTCCCCCACCCCCCACCACCCCCTCCAACCGATGTGGTACGGCAGCCAGTGTATAACGCGAACAGGGTGGCGCGGCTGGAGAAGAAGCGCGGCAAGCTGGAGAACAAACTCACGGAGCTGCACATCAAGCTCGAACGCTTCCCCAATAAGCCACTCACTGTCCGGGTGAGAGCAGAGGGCAGTGACGGCCAGGGTGTGGGTTGGAGAGGAGATGGGAGTGAGTGTGGGGGGGGGGGGGGGGGGTCGGCCGGGATGTGTCTCACGCACGGATGGTGGGATGTGCATGCATACAACACAAGAACAGTTACACGTCACGGCATGTCTGCACGTGTCTAAGGTTTCTCCTCCTCTCGTGTTGCTCAAGAGGGTAGGGCCTAGTGAGGTGACTCCATCTCCTCCTCACGTGCTGCTTTCCTGCCGCACCCCTTCCCTCCGTTGCCCATTCCTGCACATCTCTCTCCTGTGCGTGTGCGTTTGCGTGTGCGTGTGCATGTGCGTGCGTGTGTGTGTGTGTGTGTGTGTGCGTGTGTGTGTGTGTGTGTGTGTTTGTGCGTTTGTTTTTGCGTGTGCGTGCGTGGGTGCGTGTGTGTATGTGGGTGCATGTGCGTGTGTGTGTGCGAGTGTGTTTGTGAGTGTGTGTGTGTGTGTGCGTGCGTGAATGGTTGTGTGTATGTGTGCAAGTGTGCGCATGTGTGTGCGTGCGTTTACATGTGTGTGCATGTGTGTCCATGTGTGTGTGTGCGCGCGTGCGTGCGTGTGTGTGTGTGTGTGTGTGTGTGTGTGCGCGCGCGCGCATGTGTGTGCGTGTGTGTGCATGTGTGTGCGTGTGTGTGCATGTGTGTGCGTGTGTGTGCACGTGTGTGCGTGTGTGTGCATGATTGGCGAGCAGATGGGGATCATGGGGCTGGTGGGGGAGAGGGTGGATGCGGTGCAGCACTACCAGGACAAGCTTGAAGAGATCTGTGACGAGGTGCGTGCCGTGTTCGTGAGCTGGGGCTGGGGCTGTGCATGTGCATGGGGGCCGGTGGGCATGTGCTTGGGGGGAGACGGGGGGGGTGGTATGTGCGTGTGAATGGGTGCCTTGTGCATGAGGTGTGTATGAGTGTTTCCATGCCATGCAGGTCACTCCATGCCATGCAGAGGGCAGTTCTTGACGCGCCTTTAGGTATAATCTGGGAAGGGAGGAGGAGGTGAGGGGAGGGGAGGGAGGGCGGACAAGGGGAGAGGGTTGTACTGCGGTGGGGAGGCATGTGAAAGGCATCCACTACATGGCAACAGGTGAGACGACGAATGGCCAATGTGTGTACAGAGGGGAAGAATGCCACCGTTGTGTCTGCCACCTTCTCCTTCCACCTTCCCTCTTCTATTTCCTCTCCTCTCATCTCCTTTCTGTTAAACTATAGTTGTTACAGTTTGTATTGTTTGGTCTAGGTGGTGTACAACTTTGTTAGTGCTAGAGTTAGGTTTCCTATATCTACCCTTGTACTTGCTCATTCTAGTCATTCATTCTCTCGTTCAGTTCCTAACATGGTATCAGAGCGAAGGTTTCGGGTTCGAATCCCCATGTGTGCACATGCTGGCGGTGCCGCTGTGCCGTGTCCTAGGCCATCCATGTGAGAGGGGGTGTCAAAAGGTCAGCACTGGGGATGTCCGATTGATCCTAGAAAAGGGTTACAGGCTTGCGAGCCTGGGGGTTTATGGGCGCACTGACCTGCTACTTAACAACCATTTTATCTCAGTGGTCTTGTGGCGGGGATTTTGACACTTTCCTCTCCCATCCTCTCCTCTCCTCTCCTTTCCTCTCCCATCCTCTCCTCTCCTCTACTCTCCTTTCCTCTCCCATCCTCTCCTCTCCTCTCCTCTCCTCTCCTCTCCTTTCCTCTCCCATCCTCTCCTCACCTGTTCCCCTCCCCCCTTTCCCCCACCATCAGATCATAGCAGAGCGGGAGCGAGTGATCAGCGACCCAGCGAGAACCATGCCAGCGGCCTTCGTGTCCTTCTCCTCGCGCTGGGGTGCAGCCGTCGCCGCTCAAACCCTCCAATCAAAGAACAGCTCGCACTGGATCACGCAGTGGGCGCCGGAGCAGCGCGACGTCAAGTGGAGCAACCTGCCCATCCCCTACGAGCAGCTCGCGGTGCGCCGTGTGCTCGTGCTATTGGCGGCGGCGTCTGTCGTCTTCTTCTACACCATCCCGGTGGGGTTTGTGCAGTCGCTGGCGAATCTGGACAACATCAGCCGCTACATGCCCTGGCTGCAACCCATCCTCAGCATGTCCGTGCCCTGCCCTCGCCCTCGCCTCCCATGCTGCCTTCCAATGCCATGCGCACTACCTTCCATGCCCACTACCCCACATGCCCACTACCCCACATGCCCACTACCACATGCCCACTACCCCACATGCCACCAACTCTCACCTGCCGCATGCCTCTGTGCACGTATCCCACCCACACCCCATCCATGGCTACCTGGTTTCTCACACCTCCCCAATTCCAACACACTCACCAACCCACCGCCTCAACCTGTGTGCACCTCTGCTGACCCCCCGAACCCCCACAGCCCACCTCACACTCTCCTCTCCGCCCTTCCTGCCTCCCCCCACTTGCCCCCCCACGGCCATGTGATAACACACTCATTGCGGACATCCCTCAAAGCTCGCCCCTCTCCCCTCCACCTTGCCCCCTCTACCTCCGCACAGCCCCGTGCTGAACATGAAGCGCCATTCTCCCACATCCTCTCCGGCCTCTCCATCAAGCTCTTCATAACTCCACTTAAAACTTGCCCCTCCCTTCCCACCCCCTTGCTCCCTGCCTCTGCCTTCCCCTCCGACCTCCACACAGCCCCTTGGTGAACGCACTCACAACCGACATTCTCTCAGACCTCGCGCTCAAGCCCTTCATGGTGCTGCTCCCCTACCTCCTCATCCTCCTCTGCCTCCTCCCCCCTTGCCCCTCTGCTCCCCAGCCCTGTGGTGAACGCGCTCATAACCGACATCCTCTCAGGCGTCGCGCTCAAGCTCTTCATGGCGGTACTGCCCTACCTGCTCATCTTCCTCGCGTCACTCGAGGGCCATGTGAGCCTGTCACAGATCGACCTGGCGGCCACCGGCAAGTACTTCTGGTTCATCATTGGCACGGTGTTCGTCACCAACGTCATGGGGGGCGCTCTCATGTCCGCCACCCACGAGCTCTCCGAGCACACCACCAGGTGAGCCCTCCTTCCCTCCACTAGATGCGTGCGGCCTTCACCACGCGAGCCTGTCGCAGATCAACCAGGCGGGAAGTTCTTCTGGTTCATCACCGGGACTGCGTTTGTCACCAACGTCATGGGGGGTGCTCTCATGTCCGCCACATGCGACCTCTCTGCCCACACCACCAGGTAAGCCCTCCATCAGGTGCGCCCTCCCTCCACCAGGTAGGGCTGGGCAAGGGGGTGAACCCCGGGTTAGACTGGACGAACCGCTTCACCCTGGTCCGAGTAGAACTGGCCCGAAGCGTCGAAGCGAAGCCATTTGACGCGTCCTTATGGCCCAATTTGATCCTCATGGAAATCGGCGTATTATACGCAGTGTATATATGCTGGCGTATAATTCGGGATCCGTTGGCAGAGTGGTTTGAGAATACGTTGAAAATACGCCTGCCGGACAGGTAACAACTTTTCCGAGCAGGGCAAACAAAGCTGCTCCTTTTTGGGGGGGAGGGGAGTTATTTATGCACCATACTCATGCTCCTATGTCATTTTATTTTTTCCGATACAAGGACAAAACAGTTTCAGCATGGCTTCTCTATCTATTCTACGTGCACTTCCTACCTGGAAAGGTATCTAGAAATTGGGTGGCAACCAAGTTAGCCGTCAACTCGACATTTGGGTAGGGAGGGAGGGTAGTCGTTATGGGCTGAACGGTGGTGCTTGTGTTGGGCTGAGCTCAAGGTCGATATCTTTGAAATTGTATGGGGGGGTTGGGTTTGTAGATCCAGTGCGGTGACGAGTGGTAAGTCGCGGCGAATTGGTTGGGATGTTTAGTTCCAACAAATTCGAAGGCGAAGAGGGGCTTTCCTCACTCTGTGGCGTTTTCAAATCGACCGGCGAAATTGCCGATCTGTGGAAATCGGCGTGCGAAATCGCCGATCTGCGCAGAGCTAAGGGCGAAGTCGCCGATCTGCGCAGATCGGTGGGCGAAATCGCTGATCTGTGCAGATTGCGGGGAAAATCACCAAGCTGCGCAGATTTGCGAGAAAAAGCGCCATGCTTTTTGTTTTGTTTTTTTCTAGCTGGGCAGCCCGAACATTTCCGAACGTATTATACGGGCGTATAACATGTTCCGTATATACGTCGACGTATATACGGTATACGGCAGGCCTGCCTGGCGTATATTCCAGGGTTACAAATGAAAAGTGGTGAAGTCCGATGCGATTTGCGATGGTGTGCAGCACGTGATCATTAGAGAGATGGATGGCACTCTGGTTGTCACATTAGAGGGTGGGTGTGGAAGTTGGGATTAGACATGAGCAAATTTTCGAACGCCTGTTTGGTTCGTCCGAACATGTTCGTGACCTATTCGAACCGAACATGTTTTTTGGCAAAAAATGTTCGACCGAACATGTTCGATGTTCGGAAGGAGTGGGGGGGAGGCGACAGGGGAGGAGCTGGCCCACTGAAAACACACTCTCGAACCTTGAACATGTTCGGGTTCGCCCCGAACATGCAGATGTTCGCCCCCTATCACGAACCTCGAACACCCTAAATCCCCAAAAAATGTTCGGGCGAACCGAACATGTTTGGTGTTCGCCCGTTGCTCATGTCTAGTTAGGATGGCCAAGCCGGTGATGGTAGACGATGGTGGGGTTGGCAAAGCTGCGGCATGGGCAGGGTGTGACGACAGCTTGTGCTTGGGTGGTGGACACTTGGCGGACCGTTGATCGCATCGTGTAAAGTTTGCTGCTTTTTAGTGTGAAGCAAGCGAGGAGCTAGTTGGTGAGCGGGTCGAGGAGGTCACAGTGAGAAGCGTGTGCTGGAAAGATGTTGGTGACCCCCCGGCCGTCGGAGTTCGTGTTGGGCCACAAGATTGTGGCGCAGTGAAGGCACACTCATGCCAGTGACGGGGCCAAACAGGAAGGTGGTGCATGGACTGGTAATTGACCCCTGAGCGCAAGTGGTGGAACTCGCCAGCGTCCTGGAGCGTCTTGGACGCCCACCCAGCCTCCTAGAGGATGCTAAAAGGACGCTGGGGTGGGCAGGTTAAAAAAATCTTTTGGGCAGGCAATAAAAGTTTCAGGGGACCGAAGGGGAGGCGTTGGGGACATGGCAAACAATGGGAAACCTAAATTCCCTCATAATGTCAAATTCCCTTAAAAACCCTCTAGGGTTTACGAAGGAGAATTTTGGAAACCCACTAGGGTTTACGAAGGAGAATTCTGGAAGCCCTGTAGGGTTAACGAATGAGTATTCTGGCAGGAACGTTCCTCCTTGAGCACAGTGTGGGTGGTCCTACTGTTGAGTGTGAATTCGATCGAATTAAGTGCCTGTGATGAGCCGAGGTACTGCGAAATCGTTTCGTTCATCATGCCAGTGCAAGGGAACAATAGGGTTGAGCACGGGGGCGGGCTGGGCCCGGCCCGGGTCGGGCCGGCCCGAAATTGCCCCGGGCCGAACCTCTAAGTTGGGCTGTCGGCCCGGGGCGGGACGGGCAGTCCCGGCCCGTGGGGCCATCGTCGGCCCGCTTTTGGCCCGCCCCTGGCCGGGCCGGCCCGGCCTGGGTCGGGCCCTAGATTTGTTTGCCTCTATAAGTCAGGCCCAAAAAACAATGTACCTATAAGCCCGGCCCGGGTCGGTCCGAGCCAGGCCCGGGTCGGGCCATACTCAGCCCGGATACCCCGTGGGCGAACTGGGGCCGAGGTCTAGCTCATTCGGGCCGCTTTTTTAGACAGCCCGGCACGGCCCGACTCGGGCCGGGCCTGGCACGGCCTGTGCTCAACCCTAGGGAAAAACATGTTGCGAAGCACATCAAATTTAGGAGGAGCACTAGTCTGAGCAGGTTCCTGTGCATCGACTTGGTTGACCTTGCGATGGCGCATTCACCTTGGCGGTTTTGACTTGACGACGACGGCGTACCATTTGTCATCTTTCTATTTAAAGGAAGTAGTGACGGGGTGGTTGGTGCCACCACACACTTGACCCTTGCGATTGCCACACTTAACGACGTATGTGCATGGAGGGAAAGCGTTGTGCTGGAAGGACGCCGTAGTAACGCTTGCTTAGGGCATAGGAGCACAAAGTGCATAGTCCTTGGCTTGAGCCGTGGTGTCCTTCTCGGCGGAGAGGAGTGCGGACGAGGGCCCTCACCATTTCGTATCCTCGTATTCTACTGGCTACGGTACCGAGCAATGTAGCTACGAAGTTATGGAGCAAACAAGTCAGTGGATAGCAGCAGCGTAGTCGTGGCGTCCTGAATAAACAACATGATTATGTGCGTTTTAATGTAGCGTTGACATTGGGTCCTTGTAAACCGTAGTGAATTGCAATATAGCCAGGGGCCATATTGGTGATAGAACCGAGAATAAAATACGGAGAAATGCGGCGAGGACCTTTACTTTGCAAAATATCGTAATTCTTGGTGATACCCAACAGTCCACCAATAACCGAACCCACGGCTACCCCGATCCGGCTAAGTTAAGTGAACCTGGACTGTATACCCACTTTGTTAATGCTGGCCAGTCCATTGGCCAATATTATGAAAACTTAGAATTTGCCCGGGCAGTGCGCAAAATTATTACCCTGGCTGATCAAGCCAATCAATATATTGATGGCGTAAAACCTTGGCAAATGGTTAAAGATCCCAAGCAAAATCCCCAATCCATTGCTAAATCCCCGCTGGCCATTTTTGCGCGGTCAGCCATCATTTTGGCAACTTGAGGTTGCAAACTATGGTAGTAATTTTTTGCACCAATGCTTGCAATTTTTTCATAGGCATGGCGGTAGCAACTGCAGCAACAAGATTTTGTTGGGATAAATAAGTTAACCATTTGGTGAGGGCTTTCGCCGAGAGGGTGAGGAGCATTTTTTTAGTTACCTCATATGCCGGAGTGAGGCCGACAAGCAGAGCGGTTGCCGGGGCTTGTTCCGGGAAGACTATGCCCAACTGCTTGAGCTTGCCATGGATGGTATGCACCTTGGCGATTTAGTCGGCCAGCTCGGGGAGTCCGCAAGGCGAACCTCGAACATGCTGGGGATGAGGATAACGACTCCCACAGTGGTATTGTTCATGAATCGGTCCTGAAGGTGCTTCTATATGGCGTTGAAAGTTGGGTAATTGTGGTACCTATGAAAACACTATTGATGGCCACATCGGCCTGTCAGATTGCCATCCTCATTGTAACCTACATCAATCCTATAAGCGTAGGATAGAGATAGCCACCCAAACTTAGTTTGGGTGTAGAACTAGGGTTAACCCTAGTTGGGGGTTGGAACTCAATCCTTGGTCCCCAAGGTTGGGTTGGGAATTATTGGTCCCCCCAATAATGTTGAACCACTTGGTCAACATTATTGGTCCCCCCAATAATCCCTCAACCCAACTTATTGGTGGGGGCCAATAATGTTGGCTTGGTTCCAACCAACCCCCCCCCCCCCCCTAGCACTACTATGTATACCCCCATCTCTCCTAATGAAATCATTGGTTCTTTCTCAAATATTCTCACATGGTAATCAAAGCCATAACGGTTAACACCGTCTCTCGATCCTAAGGACCACACCTAACGCGTGCCGTATCACGCCCCCCTCCCTCACGAACACTAAGTCGCTCATCGCGCCTAGTGCGCTCCTACGCCGTCACGGCCCCCCCTCCTCTCGCGCTAATTCCAGCGCCCCCCCTCCCCACGGCCCTCCCCTCCCCCCTCTCTCACGAACGCGTCGACCGTCGGGACGGCCACATCGACCGTCGGAACGGCCAGCGCGACCGTCGGGGCGGCCACCGTGACCTAAAAATCGCGGACAGGAGCATCCGCCACGACGAACGCGGACGGACGCATCCGCCACGACGAACGCGGACGGACGCATCCGCCACGTGAGCCGCGGACGGGCGCACGCGCCACGACAGCCGCGGACGGGCGCACGCGCCACGACAGCCGCGGACGGGCGCATCCGCCACGACAGCCGCGGACAGGCGCATCCGCCACGACAGCCGCGGACGGGCGCATCCGCCACGACAGCCGCGGACGGGCGCATCCGCCACGACAGCCGCGGACGAGCGCATCCGCCACGACGAACGCGGGCGCTCGTCGTGGCCTAAACCGCCGCGACAAGGCGGACAGCGCTGCCGCGGGCGACACGGTGCAGCCACGGGCGCCAAGGCGCAGCCGCGGGCGGACGGCGCAGCTGCGGGCAACAAGGCGCAGTCACACGTGACAAAGCGGAGCCGCGGGCACTACGGTGCAGCCGCGCGCAACGTGACCGCACCACCCTCCAGGTGGTGTCGTCCCTCCCCCCTCCTTGACCGCACCCGCCCTCAAGCCGGTGTCGTCACCCCCTCCCCCCTCCTCCCCCCTCATGGCAGACGACTCGACTCCCATTGAGCTCGGAGCTATCGACAAGCTCGAGCTCCTGCATGACACGACGGCTGTGAATTGGGCGTCATTTGAGGATACCCTTCACACCCAACTTGGCTCTGTCATCATCCAAGACTACTGTCTGCTTGACATAGTCCTTGAAACCTCTAACGGCCTTCCACCCGTTCTCCCTCCTCCTCTTGATCCCCCTCCCCCCGACGCCCCTCCACTTCCAGAACCTATTGACCCCCCCCCCCCAATCCTCCAGTTCATGATGATCACCCGGATCGCTGGGCGGCCAACTTGAACAACTACAATAAGCTACGTGACACCTACACCATCCAGCGTGAAGCATACCGTGTTGCTGAGGAAGCACATGCTGTCGCCGCGGCACGTATCCTCCAGTACGAAAAAGATGAGAGGGATCATGCTGAGGAGCTACGCAAACTCCACAAGGATGTCGCAGCATGGCGTGATCGCCGCGCACTCGCCATCATCTTCTCCTGCATCCCCTCACACCTCAAACGCGACCTCCGTCCCACCTCCTCTGGCCTCTGGAAAACCCTCTCTACTCAGTACGATCGACAGGATCTTCGCTCCCTCCTTGCCCTCTTTCGCAAGTTCCAAGACACCACCCCCACTACTGCTTCCTACACCCGCCGCCTCATTGATACTGCACAACGCCTCAACGATCGAGGCATTGTCATTTCTGAGTCTCTCCTCACTACACGCATTCTCGACTGCCTCCCCCCCACATATGACACATACCGCATCACCTTCACCTCCCGTTACCGCCGCCCTCCTCCTGTGACTGACACCATCGAGTGGTTTCTTGACAGCGAAGCTGACTTTCAACGTGACTCCACCGCTATCAATGCAGTTCAGACTCGCAAAGCCCCCACAGGCAACCAGAACAGCGGCGGAGGTGGTGGCCATGGCGGTACTGGCAGTGGTGGAGGTGGACGTGGTGGAGGACGAGGAGGAGGACGCGGTGGTGGACGCGGTGGTGGCCGTGGCGGACGTGGCGGATACGCCTCACCTTCAGGCACCCTTCCCCCGTGTCAGTACATCATCCGCTATGGCTCCAACAAAGGTCAGCCATGCTCTCAGACCACTCATACCACTGACACGTGCTTCAAAGCCCTCACTGACGAGTGGTTCGCACGTGGCAACGTTGGCACTCCACCTCGCTGGAACACTGTCTTCCCACGCCCCTCCCTCCATGACATTCGCACTCTCCCCGCCTATCAACCCTCTACTCCTAACCTCCACAATGTCCTCACTCAGCATCTCCCATCTCACATCCTTCAGCAAGTTCAGCATCTTCTCCCCTCAACCACCCCCACTCCCACCACTCCCACTCCTCCTCGACCCACACCTCCGCCTCAAGCCCCTCCCACTCACTATCCCCCACCCTATGCTGGCTGGCCTTACCCTCCCTATGCTGGATATGGCTATGGACCCCCGGCATCTGCTGCTAATGCTGCTGAACAGCCCTCCTCCTCCAGCAACCCTCCTGACTTTACTCCGTTCCCCTCTGCTGGATTCATAGGACATATAAGCACTACTCCTGCTGATTCTCTGTATGCCCATGCTATTAATGAGTCCCTCTTCCAGTATTCCGCCTTTTCCTCCTCCGCATGCCTTGAGTTTATCCTTGACAGTGGAGCTACACACACGGTCCTTCGGGATGCAGGCACACTGATACATCTCCCCACTCCCTCCACTATCCATGGAGCTGACTCCAGCTTCACCATCACAAGTCGACACATCTCCACCCTCCCCTGTCCCATCTTCTCCTCAGGTCAGTCACCGGTCTATACATCCCCTCCCTACGCAACAATCTGGTAGCACTTTGTGACCTCACCAGGTTCGGTATCACCGCCCTCTTCCCTGGTCATGCACGTCACTGCGACCTCTTTCTCACCTCCACTGGCCGCTTCATCTGTCGCATTCCCCTCTGCCCTCACACAAACGTGTACACGTACCGCACCCCTCGCACCTCCATTCACAACCTCATCGCCCCCACCTCACCCCTCCCCCTCCCCTCACCTCCCCCCCCCTTTCCCTCCCCTCCTCCCATCCCCACCTCACCCCTCCCCCTCCCCTCACCTCCCCTCCCCCCTCCCTCCCTCCCCTCCTCCCATCCCCTCCCCCGCCTCCTCCTGTCACTGTCGTGACCTTACCCACCCCGCTGTTCTCCTTCACCATAGGTTGGGTCATCCCAACTTTGCCACCCTCCGTCAAACTGTCTCCACCCAACTCCTCGACGGACTCCCCCTCACCCTTCCCCCTCTCCCCCCATCACCCTCCCCTCCCTGCTCAGTATGCGTTGAAAGCAAACTGAAACAGGCCCCCCACAAGAGTCATCCCTCCTTTTCTCCCCAGCCTCTTGATCTCGTCCACATGGACCTCTGGGGCCCCAACCCTTCCCCCACCAGGCAAGGTCATAAATACCTGCTCATCCTGGTGGATGACCGCAGCCGGTACTCCTCCGTCTCCCTCCTTCGCACGAAGGCGGAGGCCCCGGCTGCTATTATTGCCTGGGCTGAACAAGCACGCACCCATTTCAAACGCCCTGTCTCCCGCTTCCACTCTGATGGCGGTGGTGAGTTCCTTAACAACATGCTCTCATCCTACTGCACCACTCGTGGCGTTATTCACACCTACACCCTACCTCATTCCCCTCAGCAGAGTGGCGTGGCGGAAAGCAGGGTCCGCGAGGTCACCAAGACTGCTCGGTGCCTCATGGTCCATGCCTCCTGCCCGCCCTCTCTCTGGGGCTATGCCATCCTCCACGCTGCCATCCTCACTAACTTGTACCCTAATCCCTCCCGGCCCACCACCACTCCCCATGCACTCTGGACATCCAAAAAGCCCAACATCACCCCCCTGCGCATGTGGGGTTCCATGACGTATGTTCTCATACACCCTGTCGACCGCTCACGCAAAGCTGGGAAGCTAGCCTCCCGCACTCTCCCCTGCATTTTCCTAGGTCACAACACCTCCTCCCCGGACTATCTCTTCCTCCATCCCCCCTCAGGTCGCCTCATTCGTAGTCGGGATGTGGAATTCGATGAAGCCCACCCGTACTACACCTCCCCCAAAGTCCCTAACCCCCTCCCTCTAACCACCCGTCCCTTCTTCTGGACTGACACCATTCCCCCCCCACCCCCTCTCCCCTTCCCTTCCCTTCTCCCCCCCCCAACCATTGTCCCCCCTGCACCCCCACCCCCTCCCCCCTCTCCCCCCGCCTCATCAGGAGACATCCTTGACCCCGTCCACCCTCCCTCCCCACCCGCTGCCCCTCCCCCTCCCTCCCCACCCGCTGCCCCTCCCCATCCCTCCCCACCCCCTCCCCCTCCTTCCCCTCCCTCCCTCCATGCACAACATCCCCCACCTCCCCCCTCCCCACGCCCTCCCTCACTCACCCCACCTCCATCCTCCCGGCCCCTACTTCCCACTCCGCCTCTCATACTCCGCCACTACCCTCACACCTGCTCCACGGTCCCCATTCTTGGTACCCCAAGGTCCACCCCCCCCTCCCTCCAGTCTCTCACATCCGTCCCCCTTCTCCGCCACCATAGCACCTCCCCTCCCCCCCGCACCAGCACCTCAGGTTTTCTCGGCAGTCGCGCTCCCGTCTCCCTGCCCCTCACGGCAACTCAGCGAAGCCAAGCTGCAATGCAGCTGTCTCCCCGCCCCGACCCTCAGCGCAGCAGAGCACCAGTGCAGCTGTGTCCTCGCATCGGCCCGACCCTCCAGCGCAGCTGTCTTGCAACTCCACCGCCTCCTCTTCCTCCTCCTCTCACTCCGGACCTCTCTGAAGACTCTCATGATGAGCTTCTTTTCCTCCACCTCCTCTCACCCACCATCGCCCCCGTCGTCCGCACAATGGCTGGCACTACTGTTCTTCTCTTCTCCACCACCCCCACCATCTACAAACCCACCACCTATGAGCAAGCACTTGCCTGTCTTGATGCACCTCTCTGGATCGAGGCCATGGTCAAGGAGAGCAACGCCTTCATCAGCAACCGCTCGTTTCTCGACGTTCCTCGTCCCTCTAAGCACAACGTGGTCAAAGGCAGGTGGCTTTTCCGAGTAAAACTACTCCCTGGCGACGCTCCGGTCCACAAAGCTCGATATGTGGCAAAAGGCTTCACACAGACCTATGGCTCCGATTTTTTCGAGACCTACTCACCCACCGCCACTCCACCGGTCATTCGCGTGTTTTTGGACTTTGTTGGCAGACGCGGGATGATTCTTCACTCCATGGACGTCACCACCGCCTTTCTGCAAGGCGACCTTCATGAGCTCATTTTCCTGGAACGTCCCAAAGGCTTCCACGCTCCTCACGACCCTACCACTGTTTGGAAGCTGCTACGCCCTGTCTACGGGCTCAAACAAGCACCTCGGGAATGGCACGCCAAACTCTCCTCCACCCTTCGCGCACTTGGCTTTCGCCCCTCCCGTGCTGCCTCCTGCCTCTTCCTGCGCCTCACCCCATCACCCTTCATCATCCTCGTCTACGTCGACGACATGCTGCTGGCCGCTGACACAGCTGCTGAACTCCAGGAGGTCAAGGATGAGCTGCAGAAACGCCTTGCCTGCAAAGACCTGGGGGAGGTTCGCAACTACCTCGGCATGGAGATCACTCGCGACCTCACTGCCAAGACCATCACTCTCTCTCAGTCTTTTTACATCGAGAAGATTCTTGAGAGGTTTGGCATGAAAACCTGCAAACCCATCCCCACACCACTTGCATTCGGGCATCGGCTCTCCCCTCCCACCACTCCCGTCACCTCCCCTCATCCCTATGCAGAACTTGTTGGCGCCCTGATGTACGTCATGGTCTGCACTCGTCCCAACCTTGCATACCCAGTCAGTGTTCCGGCGCAGTTCGTTGGCACCGGCAGGCATGGTGAGGAGCATTGGAAGGCGGCCATGCGTGTTCTTCGCTACCTTCAGGGCACGAAGGACCATGTCCTCACTCTTGGTGGTGTGAACCCGCCCATTCTTCAAGGCTTCAGCGACCCATCTTGGGCCGACGCACAGCCCGACCGTCGCAACACTCAAGGATATGGCTTCACACTCGGGGGCGGCCTCATCAGCTAGCGCTCCACCCGCTCCTCCTCCGTTGCCCTCTCATCCTGCGAAGCCGAACTGTACGCGGTCACGATGGTGGCTCAAGAGGCACGTTGGCTCAGCTATCTGCTCACCGACCTTGGCTCACCACAGCCCCGCCCCACCCTGTGGTGTGACAACGACAGTACGATCCACCTCACCAAGGAAGCAGGCTTTCATGGTCGCTCTAAACACATCGAGCTTCGCTACTACTTCGTTCGCGACCTTGTCCAAGATGGTCACATCACCGTTCGCAAAATCGCCTCCTCCGACAACCTTGCCGATCTCTTCACCAAGGCTCTCCACCGCTCTGACCACTCTGCGCTTCTGCGTCTCCAGGGACTCGCTCCCCGCGGTGGCTGATTCAGGGGTTGTTGCTCTCTCTCTTCCCAAGCTTATGGATTTCTGTAGGTTAAGGGGTTGTGTCAGATTGCCATCCTCATTGTAACCTACATCAATCCTATAAGCGTAGGATAGAGATAGCCACCCAAACTTAGTTTGGGTGTAGAACTAGGGCTAACCCTAGTTGGGGGTTGGAACTCAATCCTTGGTCCCCAAGGTTGGGTTGGGAATTATTGGTTCCCCCAATAATGTTGAACCACTTGGTCAACATTATTGGTCCCCCCAATAATCCCTCAACCCAACTTATTGGTGGGGGGCAATAATGTTGGCTTGGTTCCAACCAACCCCCCCCCCCCCCCCCCCCCTAGCACTACTATGTATACCCCCATCTCTCCTAATGAAATCATTGGTTCTTTCTCAAATATTCTCACACGGCCCTCTCCCAACGGCTATTTGTCAACCGCTTCCCCATACTCCTTACGTGCCGCTTCGTCCATAGGTTCGCCCGGCTCCTTGTGAAGAGGGGGTTGCTTTCCCTTGCCGTAGTTTAGGAAGACATCTTAGAGATCCAACTCGTGCACCTCACGGCTAAGGAGGTGCGTGTCAACCCCATAGCTCCATCCCTTGTAGTTGGAGCTCGTGCCATCAGCTCAAGGCGAATAGGAGTGATGGGGTTGGCGATGGTGGGGGAAGCAACTGCCATGGGTCCCCCTTGTCTTCCGAAGCGCCGCTTCTAAGTCACCGATAGCAACTGGCGGCGAGAAACCCGAGCGACGAGAAGAGCCAAATTGACGATGTCGGCAGCTTCGGAATGTCTCGTATAAATCTTTTTTTGGTCGGCGGTAGTTGGAAAAACACCAATTTCGGGCAGGTGCGACCTAGTCCTAACCCTACGCCCACACACCCCCCGCGACCCTGTCCCACAGCTTCACGGCATCCAGCTCCACTACATCCTGTTCTGCTGCACTTGTTCCGTTGCCGGCGCTTAAGGGAGAGATGCCGGCGTGGCGGGGTATCGGGATTAGGGTACCTCGCAAAAATGCTTATCGTATGGTGACCGATGGGGATTAACCGCGTCGTACGATAATACTGTCCAGAAAATGACGACAAGAACATTTGGCACGGGAGAAATTCCGGCCAAAGAAGAAGATGTGGCGTTTGAAAAAAGTCAGCGCCACGTGACCTAAACCCTTACTAGGGAGTGCGAAGATTGTTTCCGCGAGAAGATGATTCGCATGTGCTGTTGAGAAGCTCTGGTATCGTGTAAGACCTTGAGGTAGAATTGATACATTAGGTAATCAGCTCAATGCTCTTAAATACAAAAGATGGATGGGTAGGTAATCAGGGGCAATCCCAGTAAGATCGGCTGAAATCTCCGATTGGTGGAATAGAGATTTTGGTTGATCACATTTGGGTAAGTTTGGTTGGGATGTTGGTGTAACACCCAACCCCACACACGGCAACTAGAATAAACTAGGATATAAAAAGTGCACATACAGAAGTTGAGATTGAACTCTAGCAGGTTTTTGAGTGACAATGAGGGCGAGAGTGGGGTGGGGGCAGCCTCCTCTCAGGCTCCTCTCAGCCTCCTCTCAGCCCTCTCTCAGCCTCCTCTCAGCCTCCTCGCACAGCACAACGTTCAGAGTTGAAGGTCCACTCACAGATCCGCGTGGGGAGAGTGCTGTTGGTGCAGAAACTAGCGGTGGGTGACGGCCGTGGGATGGAGGAGTAGTGAGAGGAGCAACAGGGCTCCCAGGAGTGGAAGGGTTGGCAGGTGAGGCAGGTGCCCACACTGCTGGGCGTGGCTCTTGCTCCTCCTCCCTCACTTCCTTCCCCACCCCTTTGTTAAAAATACGCTGTCCACACTTTTGTGTACTATATTCTATATCTTGTAGGTTATTTGTAGGTTGGGTGTAGATTGTAATCCCAACCCTATCTGGTTGGGATTCCCTCGTAATCCCGCAAATCTGCCAACTCACCATTGGAGATTTGCTAGGATTCCCATCCCATCCTCTCCCTAGCTTTGCTCAACCCAACATTGTTTGTACTTAAGGCCTAGTGCCTTCTCTACTAATCAATCAGTTCAGCTCCAATTCTATCACCCTTCTCCCCCCGTCACCCCTCCCCCACGACCCCTCAACCACCGCAGATCCTGGGCGCGCGCATCCCCATGAAGGCCACGTTCTTCATGACCTTCACCATGGTGGATGGCTGGGTTGGCATGGGGGGCGAGGCGCTGCAGCTCTGGTACCTGCTGCTCTTCCAACTCAAGGTGCAATCCTCTCCCCACACCCCCTTCTCTTTCTGCACTGCCTCCTTAAGTTTCAGTCTTGCCGTCCCCTCCCCCTATTCCCCCCTTCCCTTGCCCCCATTCGCTTGCCCCCGTTCCCTTGCCCCCCTGCTCTTACCCCCTTCTCATGCCTTTCTCTGCCTTCTCTGCCTCCTCCCTCGCTACCCATCGCATGAGGAAAACACGAGGATTATTTCTCCACTCTTTTCCCCCTCCCCCCCCTCTTCCCCAACCTCCTTATTCTCCATTCGTCCCCTGCTTGCCCTCATCACTGCTCGTGCCACTACTGGGCGGCAGAGTTCACTGCTGGTGCGCACGCCAGCGGACAGGATAAAGGCCATGAAGGCACGCCCCATCCGACTCGTCGACACTATCTCGCAGGTACCACCTCCCCTTCCCCTTGCGCAGGTACCACCTCCCCTTCCCCTCGCGCAGGTACCACCTCCCCTTCCCCTCGCGCAGGTACCACCTCCTCTTCCCCTCTCGCATGTATCACCTCCCCTTCCCCTCTCGCAGGTTCCACCTCCCCTTCTCCTCTCACAAGTACCACCTCCCCTTTTCCTCTCGCAGCTTGGAATATTATTCTTAAGGCTGGAATAAAAACAGAATTTACTAGCATTTTTACCGCTTCAATGGAAGTATGAAAAGCAGTTTCTTCCTCATTATTAAGATATATTTCTACTTCTTTTTTCTCTCCTCTCACAGGTACCACACCACCTCCTCTTTTCCTTGCGCAGGTACCACCTCCCCTTCTCCTCTCGGTGTGCCATGCCATTCTGCATTCTGCCCTGCCACACCCTTCCCTCACCCCCTCTCCCCTCCCCCCCTCGATCAAATGGAGCTATACTTCCTGCTGCCATTTGTCTACTGTGTCACCAACCCGCTCTACCTGCCCTTCGCCCTCGCCTTCTACATCCTCGCCTTTGTCATCTACCGCAACCAGGTCAGCCACTCTTGTCATCTACCGCAACCAGGTCAGCCACTTGTCATCTACCGCAACCAGGTCGGCCACTTTTGTCATCTACCGCAATCAGGTCGGCCACTTTTGTCATCCACCGCAACCAGGTCGGCCACTTTTGTCATCTACCGCAATCAGTGCCACTTTTATCATCCACCGCAACCAGGTCGGCCACTTTTGTCATCTACCGCAACCAGGTCGACCACTTTTGTCATCTACTACGACCAGGTCGGCCACTTTTGTCATCCACCGCAACCAGGTCGGCCACTTTTGTCATCTACCGCAACCAGGTCGGCCACTCTTGTCATCTACTGCGACCAGGTCGGCCACTCTTGTCATCTACCGCAACCAGGTCGGCCACTCTTGTCATCTACCGCAACCAGGTCAGCCACTTGTCATCTACCGCAACCAGGTCGGCCACTTTTGTCATCTACCGCAATCAGGTCGGCCACTTTTGTCATCCACCGCAACCAGGTCGGCCACTTTTGTCATCTACCGCAACCAGGTCGGCCACTCTTGTCATCTACTGCGACCAGGTCGGCCACTTTTGTCATCCACCGCAACCAGGTCGGCCACTTTTGTCATCTACCGCAACCAGGTCAGCCACTCTTGTCATCTACTGCAACCAGGTCGGCCACTCTTGTCATCTACCGCAACCAGGTCGGCCACTCTTGTCATCTACCGCAACCAGGTCGGCCACTCTTGTCATCTACCGTAACCAGGTCGGCCACTTTTGTCATCTACCGCAGCCAGGTCGGCCACTCTTGTCATCTACCTCAACCAGGTCGGCCACTTGTCATCTACCGCAACCAGGTCGGCCACTTTTGTCATCTACCGCAACCAGGTCGGCCACTTTTGTCATCCACCGCAACCAGGTCGGCCACTTTTGTCATCTACCGCAACCAGGTCGGCCACTCTTGTCATCTACTGCGACCAGGTCGGCCACTTTTGTCATCTACCGCAACCAGGTCGGCCACTCTTGTCATCTACTGCGACCAGGTCGGCCACTCTTGTCATCTACCGCAACCAGGTCGGCCACTTTTGTCATGTACCGCAACCAGGTCAGCCACTCTTGTCATTTTACCGCAACCAGGTTGGGCCACGTTTGTCATTCACAGAGATCCGGTCGATACCTCTTATCACTTACCGCAAGACACAGGTCAGTCGCTGGTGTTATGCACCTCACATCCACAACCTCACTGTGCCACTGTGAGTGGGGGGCCGGTGTAAACTGCGTCCCATACACCCTTCACTGAGAGGCTCCCACCAGCCCTGCACCAGCCCCCTACACATCCCCGCCCTCTTTCCTCCCATCCAGCCAATCATGAGCCTACCGGTGCCTCCCCGTTCCCCTCCCCCCTCCCCACACCGGTGCAGATAATCAACGTGTACTGTTCACGGTACGAGATGGCGGGGGCGTTCTGGCCGCACTTCGATGCGCGGCTGGTGGCGGCCATGCTGGTGCAGCAAGTCACGCTGGGCGGCATCCTCTCGCTCAAGGACGCGCCCTCCCAGGCCTGCTGCCTGCTGCCGCTGCCGTTTGTCACGCTCATAGTGCACTGGGCGTTCATCCGCGGCCAGTTCTCCAGCACCTTCTCCAAACTCGCCCTCGAGGTGGGCTCCCTGTGTTGCAGTAGCGGTAACCCTGTGCTCCCTGTGTTGCGGTAGCGGTAACCCTGTGCTCCCTGTGTTGCGGTAGCGGTAACCCTGTGCTCCCTGTGTTGCGGTAGCGGTAACCCTGTGCTCCCTGTGTTGCGGTAGCGGTAACCCTGTGCTCCCTGTGTTGCGGTAGCGGTAACCCTGTGCTCCCTGTGTTGCGGTAGCGGTAACCCTGTCCTGTGCCCCCTGTGTTGCGGTAGCGGTAACCCTGTGCTCCCTGTGTTGCGGTAGCGGTAACCCTGTGCTCCCTGTGTTGCGGTAGCGGTAACCCTGTGCTCCCTGTGTTGCGGTAGCAGTAACCCTGTGCTCCCTGTGTTGCGGTAGCGGTAACCCTGTGCTCCCTGTGTTGCGGTAGCGGTAACCCTGTGCTCCCTGTGTTGCGGTAGCGGTAACCCTGTCCTGTGCCCCCTGTGTTGCGGTAGCGGTAACCCTGTGCTCCCTGTGTTGCGGTAGCGGTAACCCTGTGCTCCCTGTGTTGCGGTAGCGGTAACCCTGTGTTCCCTGTGTTGCGGTAGCAGTAGCGGTAACCCTGTGCTCCCTGTGTTGCGGTAGCAGTAACCCTGTGCTCCCTGTGTTGCGGTAGCGGTAACCCTGTGCTCCCTGTGTTGCGGTAGCGGTAACCCTGTGCTCCCTGTGTTGCGGTAGCGGTAACCCTGTGCTCCCTGTGTTGCGGTAGCGGTAACCCTGTGCTCCCTGTGTTGCGGTAGCGGTAACCCTGTGCTCCCTGTGTTGCGGTAGCGGTAACCCTGTGCCCCCTGTGTTGCGGTAGCGGTAACCCTGTGCCCCCTGTGTTGCGGTAGCGGTAACCATGTGCCCCCTGTGTTGCGGTAGCGGTAACCCTGTGCCCCCTGTGTTGCGGTAGCGGTAACCCTGTGCCCCCTGTGTTGCGGTAGCGTTAACCCTGTGCCCCCTGTGTTGCGGTAGCGGTAACCCTGTGCCCCCTGTGTTGCGGTAGCGTTAACCCTGTGCCCCCTGTGTTGCGGTAGCGGTAACCCCGTGCCCCTTGCGTGTCAGTAGCCGCAGCCCAGCGCAGGGGGTGAAGGCGAGTGATATGGAGATTGTATGAGAGCACATCCCCATGGTTCCCTCACGCTCCGCCTTTCGCCGTTCATCCCCCCACCCTTGTTCATCCCTCGCCACCGCTCGCACTCATTCCAAGGACACACAAGACCCTCATTTCCACCTTCCACTCCCTGCCTCCCTGCCACCCTACCTTGCAACTCTTGTATTACCCAATCCCCCCCCCACTGCCAGGAGGCGAATCGCAAGGACACGATAGACCGCACGGTGCATCCCAACGAGGACCCGCACTCCTTCCTGGCACGTGCCTACCTGCACCCCTCGCTGCAGTCCGCCTTCACCATGCTCGATGGCGACGAGGAACAGGGCGGCGCAGGCCGTGACGACTCCTCCTCCTCCTCCTCCTCAGATGATGATGATAAGGACGGGGATGAGGAAGAGGGCGGCGGGAAGAAGTCGAAGCACGCCGACCGGCACGCGCAAACTCGTCTTGTGCCGGTGAAACGGCATCCGTTTTCTAGCAGTGCGCAGGCCTCTCCTGCCGTGCCAAACGGTTCGGATGGGTTGCAAGCGGTGGCGGGCTCAAGCCCTCCTGCACACCTCCGTCCCAGAAGTGTGTCAGACGGGCCTGGGAGTTCGGCTTCAGCTGCTGCAGTTGCCGTGTCTGCAGTGACCTCTGCTGCTGCAGCTGCGGCTTCTGCTGCCTTTGCTGCCGCTCGCAGTGCCGCCAGCAGTGGCGCCGCTGCCTTCAGTGCTGCCAGCTCAGGCCGTGTGGCTGCTGATGCTGACGCCACCGCCCACACACCCCATGCCGTTCCACCTGCCAGCCGCGACCGTTCCAGTGAAGCCTCGCCGTACCACTCGTGTGAGCTCGTCTCAGTCATTGTCGACGGCCCCGAGGACGTTTCCCAGAACGTTCCTCTCGCCACCTCCTCAGCGGCCCGTCCCGACTTCCCTGTGGGGGATTCGGTGGTGCAGAGGGGAGCAGCAGCAGCCAGTGAGGGGATGACAGGTGGCAGCCGGGGGGAGAGGAAGCCGTCCCCGCAAACAGCCGGGACAGAACCGCTCTTGGCAGGGGGGGGTGGGGATCGGGGTGGGGAGAGCAGTGGGATGGGAAAGGCAGTTGGCGTACCCGTGTTTAGATTATGACTGCTGTAAGCAGCCTGCTGTGCGTTATCAGCATAAGCATCAGAGCAACAGGTGGAGCAGCTTCGTTTGAGGCATGTAGGGCCCATCTTCATCTGTTCCACCACAGCTGCCTCCACTGGGTTTGGCTCTCCCCGTTACCGGTACCGTATCTTAGTTGCACGCTTCACTGGCCAGGCTTGCTGCAACTCATCCTAGATTGCTCTCACCTCTTCCCTTTAGCTTAGATTCCTTTTGGGAAGTCCTACTGCTACTTGCACCATTCGCGATTTGTAGTACCGTCGAATTTATTCTATGGAAATAAATATATGCATTTGAATTATTAATTATCATACACGTCATGTTGGATCCTGTGTTGATACCTACAGTAAAGAGGTACACTGACATCAATTTACAGTTATATCCAAATCTTTTGATGCTTGTTCAGCCAGGCTTTGCCAGCCACCCCTCGATGTGGTTCGCTCGAATGTGAGCAAGTAGCGCCCTTCGCGCGACACCCTCTACAGCTGCTGCTTCCTTCAATCCAACGATTCCAGACCACGCACAAGAGCACGTGCTTTCCTGTCGATAACGCCCTTCGCTGCTCCTCGGAGCTCAGCAGAGTCGGGGCTAGCGCTCCGCGGAGAGATGGTCGCAACCGTAAGCTCCGCCTTGCGCCATACCGCCTCGACGGCATGTTCCGCGCTCGACCCTGCCCGCGCATGCCCTTTGTTTCTGCGGAACGACTCCTGCGAAAGAGCGACGCGAGCGAAGACCTCGGACGTTACCTCCCTCCAACTGCGCCAACATTTCATACAATCACACCCGCCGTCGCGGACGCATTGCTCCCATCCTCCGCGTGCACGCACCCCTTCACCTTCCGCACGATGCGTCCGCCGAAGGCGTGCAGCAGCAGCCAGGGGTGCGAGAGCACCTTGTTGGCGGACGGTCGTCGCCGCGGGTCCCTCTCCAGCATGCACCGAATCAGCCCGCGCGCCTCCGCCGACACGCGCGCGCCCGCCCACGCCGCCGAATTTTCTCCCAAATCCACCCGCCCGTTCACCACGCTGTCTAGAATCCCCTGATCGTCCGGCCCCCAGAAAGGCGGAGAGCCAGGAGGATGTGAAGCACGACGCCGAGCGACCAGACGTCGGCGGGGAGGCCGTATTGGCCGGAGATCACCTCCGGCGCCATGTAGTACGGCGACCCCGCGGGACCCGTCGTCCACTCGCCACGCTCCAAGGGGACCGCGAGACCAAAGTCCGCGAGTTTCACGGAGTGGTACGAGCGGTGCTGGTTTTTGGCGATCGAGGGTTGCGATGACGCCGGGTTTTCCGCCGGGTTTGACGGTGTTCTTTCGGAGGGTAGGAGCGGGGAGGTGGAGAGGAGGATGTTTTCGGGTTTGATGTCGCGATGCATCACTCCGCGGGAATGGCAGAATGCGACGGCCGACGCCACCTGCATGAACACCTGCGCCGCGTCGCGCTCGCTGAATCGCCCGCGTCTCGCGATTTCGTCGAAGAGATCGCCGCCGTCGCAGAGCTCTGTAACCAGGTACACGTCGCTGTCGTCTTCGAACACCGCGTGCAGCCGCATGACGCCTGGATGGCCCATCGATTTCTGCAGCAGACGCACCTCGCGGCGAACGTCCTCTATATCGTCCGCTTCGATTAGCGTCGCCTTGGAAATGGACTTGCACGCGTATTGCATCCCTGTTGATCGGCACGTGCATCTTCGCACGGTTCCAAATTTCCCCGTCCCCAAAATTTTATCGTCGATTTCATAAAACTCGTTCATATGTTGACTCGCCCCTGGGAATACGTGAGGGGCTGACTTGGCAGGCGCGGAGCGCGTTACGCCGCGACCCCTTTTCAGCGGACTACTGGAGGTGTCGACCTCGCCGTCGAAACCGTTTGAATAGGCCTTTCGTTTTCTCAAGTGGCAGCAGCACGTTTGGTTCCGGCGATGGTCTTGGCATGGCGCAGACGCCACCTGGTGGTAGTCAGCAGAAGTCGAACCCATGACGGTCAGCGAGGGGAAGAAATGGTGGCAAGAGATGGTGAAACCAACGGCTGGGAAGCCTGCTTTCAAATAGTTTAGCTGCTACTGAAGGGAATGATAGCGGAGAATAACCCAAGGATTGGTGACAGGAGCAGGAGAAATGCTTGGGTAGGCTTCGATGGTCAATTGATTCCTGATTGGGCCAGCCGGGTTGAAAGAGGAACGCGATGGAACGCGTAAAGGTCACGACGAGGGGGTGTGAAGGGAAATGAACGCGATGCTCGAAGTGTACAGCTGACTCGGCACCATCACCGTTCGATCAAGGAATCCGCATCAGATTCCGACGAGCAATCCAGCGGAATAATCGCGGAGAGGGAGGAGGAATGGAAAAGGGTAAGGGATGTCTGCGAATAGAAAAGCGGGTGTCACGGTTGCAAAAGGTTTTCTTTTGGGCTGGTTGAAGAGGTGGAGGAAACATGCGAATGTCACCGGTTGTCGCGGAGATTGACGAACGAATTCCATCAGGCAGGGTGGGGACAATAATGTGGCGAAAAGTCTAGGGCGACAACAATCTATATCGCGAATCGATGAGGCTGTCAGCCATTCGAGCCGATTCTACATTAGAAAGCGCTTCAGTACAGTAATTCGGTCAACCCGCGACTCGGTTCAATATTTTGTTTCTCAAACCAAAATCCAGCCGCAATTGCATGGTGCACACACCTTATCGGACGGTGATGCATATGTGACGGTAACTGATTGAACACTTCTGCTCCATACAGTATTCCCGTCAATCCAAGAAGCCAAACAATGAGCGCCTGACACGGACTGGCTCTGAAAAGGCGGCACTTCTGACAGGTTCCAAAGTGGTGGCAACAATAATTGTGGAATCGTGTCCTTGAAGTCAACCCAGCTTGTAGAGAGAAATCATCTAGAGGTCAAAACACTTGGTGTTGACAGTTATACGTAGACGGGATAAGGCTGTGGCTAGACCATTGTGACATTCTTTATGCGTTGATAGTAAATTCTCAAAATTTGTGGTATATTTTTTCCTCTTGATAGTTACAGAACATGTTGCGATCAGAAAGTTAATCGAGCCTATGATCACCTCAGGAAGGTTCGCAGAGAGTGTGTTGTAGCGGAAGTAAGTATTGACCTCAAGTCAGAGTGAATTTTAGAATGACTTAGATAATTAAAACAAGCACATACATAAGCTTATATAATAGTACGGGGGAATTCGAAACGACATAGACTAGCTATGTACTCTAAGGGGCACATTCCCTTATTGCAGCCAAATCCAACCGTGCGACTCCGAACGGTTACGAACATGTTCCCGACATAATCATCGCCACTGCAACTGCCCGATGCTTCTGCTCCGACGGTCCAGATGCTGCCAACCGTTTGAGAATCTTCGCGTCATTGCGACCTTTCGCCTTCGCACTCTTCATTGCGTTCTTGGTTTTGCTACTGATAAGAGTGCACAGTACTTCTCAATTTTTACTAATCGTAACACCCCCCTTCACTCCTTGCCGTAGCAAGTATTGACTCGCTTGACCACTCCGCTGAGTTCGGAACGGTGCTGGTACTACTAACGGGGCAGTCACTTTGTGAGGAAGTCGGCTGCCATGTCACCCATTGGGCAATAGGTCAGATCGACCTTGCCCTTGTCAACTTCGTCCTTGACGAAGAAGTACCGCAGCGCGATGTGTTTGGTGCGGTTGACGAATCACGGCTCTGGTTATCGCAAAGCAGGCGAAAAGTTGGCGAAGTTGGGATTTTCGCCTCTTGTAGAAGCTCCTGTAGATAGAGCCCTTCGCGTGTCAGAATCAACTGTGCAGGAATGAGTTGTATTGAGCAGGTGAAGATACAAGTACCAACCCTAAATGGGTTGTACCCTACATAGGCTAACCCACTACAGCCTACACAAGTACAAAAGTAGTTTGACACACCCCCATAGGCTAAGTGGGAGATAGCAAACACAACAGATGGTCACAAGACCAGTCAAGCAAAAGAACAAAGCAAAGCAAAGCTCAGGGTGGATCTCAAGGACACCACACAGTCTGAGCACAAGCAAGCGGCCACAAGGCCAGTTCACATGCAGAGGTATAATAGCAAGGCAGTACACTGATCACAACCTAGCAAGAGTCAACATGCAGGTATAAAGATATAAATCAGTGTACAACAAGAGCAAGTCAAGCAACCAGCAGGTGAGGCAGAGTGGGCACAAGCCCAAGAGCAGTGCAGAAACGCTGATGATCACCAGACCCAAGGGCCTTGGTGAAGACATCAGCAGTGTTGGCCCGAGAGGCCACGTAAGCAAGGCGAAGCAAACCACGCTGCTGCAGCTCACGCGCAAGGAAGTAACAAAGAGCAATGTGCTTCGTTCTGGGCTCCAGTCTGTGCTCGCGACACAAGGCAAGCATTGCCTTGTTGTCGACGTACAGAACTGGAGGAGAACGAGGCCGCTCCCCCAAGTCGGTCAGCAGGTAGGTCAGCCAGCGTAGCTCCTGTGCAGCCATGGCCCCAGCGTAGATCTCGGCCTCACAGTTGGAACCAAGCACAGAAGAAGAACGAGTGGACCTCCACGAGACAGAACCAGAGCCAAGACTGAAGGTCTAACCCTGTGACGAACGCTGAGTCGCCTGGTCGTCGGCCCAAGAAGCGTCGGAGTGTCCTGTGAGTACCACTGAACCCCGTCCTCCAAGCACGAGCCCCATGCCCGATGTACTGCACAAGTAACGCAGTACCCTCTTCGCAGCATCAAAGTGCACCTTTCGGTGTCTACCGGGAGCCACGTAGCGAGCCAGAAGGCTGAGAGGGTACGCGAGGTGAGGTCGTGTGCACGTCATCAGGTACATGAGGCAACCCACAAGCTCTGGGTACGGACCACTCGGCTCTACGGACTCGTCCGAAGGTGGAGCTGAGAGCGAGTGGCTGGTAGACAGAGGAGTGGGCTGTGGCGAGGACCACGTAAAGCCAAAGCGCTGAAGGACCTGGTGCACCATGTGTGACTACGTCAGGGTGATGGTGCGCCGTGCTCTGTCCCGGATGATCTGCAAGCCAAGATAGCTCCGCAGGTCACTCAGGTCAGTGCAGGTTTGTCTCTCCTGCAGCTCCGTCTTCACGCGGGCCAGTGCCTCAGTGTCAGCACTAGCAAAGAACAAGTCGTCGACGTACACGAGGATGTAGAACGGCGGCAGAGAAGTGTCTGTGCGCAGAAACAGCGAGGGGTCAGCAGTCGAGGGAGTGAAACCAAGAGCCGCAAGTGTAGTTCTCAGTGTGTCTGGTGCCACTCACGGGGCGCCTGACGCAGGCCGTACACTGGTTGCCGTAGGCTCCACTGGGTACCCTCAGGAAACGACCCAGTGAAGCCCTGTGGACGGTGCAACCAGATGGCCTCGTGAAGGCTACCCTGCAAGAAAGCTGTCGAGAAGTCGAGGGAGTGCAGCTCGTAGTCGCGCTGTGCTGCAACGTGTAGCAACACCCGAAGAGTGGTCATCTTCGGGGTGGGGAAGAAGGTCTGAAAGAAGTCAACTCCCTCACGCTGACTGAAACCTTAAGCAACGTAACCTGCCTTGAAGGCAGGCGGAGAACCCGGCGGCCGCTTCACCCTGAAAATCCACATGCCACTGACGATGTTCGCCCCTGGAGGGGGAACCTCGTCGACATAGGTGCCTGTGGACTTCCACGAAGCCATCTCTGCATCCATGGCTGTCTGCCACTGAGAGGAGTACTCACCCGAGATCGCCTCTCTGTAAGAGCGGGGGGTGGGGATGTCAAGTGCATCCGGGTCTCCCTCAGGGGCAAGCAGCATGGCAGCGAGATGAGGTACAGCGGCTGCAAGGCACTCCAGCTCCTCTTGCCTGTCCTCAAGAACGTCACAGCCAAGGGCAGTACAGCCAAGGGCAGACTCACCCCCGACGAACGGAGGACAGGCAGGGACAGGGTCAGAAACAAGACTTGCAAGGTAGTCTAGGCGGTACGCAGTAGCAAAGTCGACAAGCTCAGCGACTAAGGCAAACGCAGCAGGAGACGAGAACGAAGGGTCAGTCACAACCGTAGCAAGAAAGCGAGTAACATTCGGACTGGACGCACGAGCAAGGTCAGACGGAGGGTCAGCAACGTCAGGAAGAGAGGACGCAAGAGGTAACGGCAGGACAACACGCTGTGGAACAGAGGAAGGACGGAGTGTCATATCGTGAGTGCCCGGGACAGCCGGAGCACGCTGACGATGAACACGAGGAACACGAGCACGGACAGCAGCTCTAGGCTCGGGCTCAAGGTCAAAGCTAGACGCAGGCTCTCGACGCTCAGGGGTGGAAGCACGAGTCTCAGGCTCTCGACGCTCAGTCAAGGACTGTGTCACCGCAGTGTAAGGAGCAGGAGCAGGCAGTGGGGAGCGCGGTAGCAGCGGCGGCTGTGACTGGTCTGCCGGTGGAAACAGTAACGGAGGAGTAGTAACTGCCACAGGGAAGTCAGTAGCACCTGGCGGAAGACTGAGAAGGTGGCGAAGAGAACGAGCAGCTCCCGTACCTCCAGCACGAGCAGCTCCTCCAGCACGAGCAGCTCCTCCAGCACTCCCAGCAGCACCTCCAGCACCAGGAGCACCAGCACCTCCAGTACCTCCAGTACCAGCAGCACCAAGAGCTCCAGGTCCTCCAGCACCAGCAGCACCTCCAGTACCTCCAGCACCAGCAGCATCTCCAGTACCT